TCAGACTCAAACACGTTTGTCTTAAAATAGAAAGACAGTGCTGACCATGCTTTTTGACTTTATCCCCTACTCTAGTAGGATGAAACAGTATGAACATTTTTCTTTCTTCGCTGCTGCATACTCCTATAACCTGTTTAGAATGCTTTACCTAAAATCCTTTCTTGCTCACTTAATCCTAGGTTTCAATGAGCTAGTTTAGTACTTTGATATCTATGATTCATCCCTTCTTTGCATAATTTCTCTCTTCCAAGAATCATTACTTGTAAGTCTCATTCCTTAGTATTCATATTTCAAATCTTTATTCCCAGTATCACAATCCAATTAGATATAAAAATGTCTAGGTCATGTATTTTTACTCTTTACTCTTTTCTCTCCTCTTTCTCACTCCTTGTTCTGATTTATTTGTTGTTTGGTTAGAATAGTCTCTCTAGTAGTTTGCTGAGATACGGTGGATGGGTAATATGTTCCATGGTTTTCTATATCATCACAATGTCCATTACTCACCCTGAGAAGTTAATTACATTATGGCTAGGTATAAATATTTTTGTGATATAATCATTTCCCCCCGTATTTTATACCTACTATATTTCTCTCTCTGAATTCCAGATTGCATGCAAGAAGTCTTATTGACAGTCTGATCCCTTTTCCTTTAATATAACTTGTCTTTCTCTCTAGAAACTTGCACATTTCATTTTCCTCAAAATAAATTTAGGAATTTTATCTAAATGAATATTATTTCCCATAAATTCTTCATAAAAGTTAGTGAGCCCTTTGAGTCTGCAGACTTGGTTGTTTTGTTGTTGTTATTGTTGTTGTTTTGTACCAAAGACATTCTCTTTGAAATCATTCCTCCATTACTTTTAATGTTTTGGAAATCCTATGGATTTATATTTTGTACTGTATTTTGTCCCCTTAATCTTTCAGACCAATAGCCTATCAAGATTGGCCATTCTCTTTTTGAATTTATCCCCTGAATTTTTTTTCTTTTTTTTTCTTTTTAATTTTTATTTCTGTCACAGATGTTTCTCCTTTTTTACCCCATTGACACCCTCCTCCCCATACCCCCCACCCCCGGCCCCATCCCTGGCTTTGTTGTCCATGTTCGTTGGTTATGTATACATGCATATAAGTTCTGTGGTTTATCTCATCCCACCCCCCAATCAAGAAGCACATTGTTATTCTTGTTTAGTTCCAGAAATGTTTCGGAAATTCTTTGAAATTCTACACTTGAGTGTCCTTAAAATGATTATTAGTTTTATGTTTCAGATGTCATATCTCTTGTCAGTAGTTTTACTTCAATAGAAGTCACTTCACAGGTGCCCTGCTTGTTCTTCTACTTTGATTGCTGGGTTCACTTAAGCCCATTGTTATTTACTTTTGCCTACATAATGCTCCCTATGCATCCTATGTTATCACATCAAGCTGTTAAGCAAATATATTTGGCAGACTGAATAAAAATTTCAGAACAAATTCTGATGATACTAACAACATCATTGCAAATAACATATTACATCAATATAGAGCAAATAGTGCATATGACAAGAAATAGAAGTAAAATAGTACTGTAATTTTCATTTTGTATATGCCTAACCCAAGCCTAAAAATGCATCTTTAACTTGGACAATTAGAAAAATATATTCAAGTATATTTTTTAAAAAATAAAAAACTAGCATGAATGCATGCAAAACTTTCAGGTCAGTGCAGAAGTAAGAATAACAAAGCCAGTCTAAATTTTAGTAGACATAAGAGAAGACACAAAATTGAAATAATTATGATGTTGGAAAGAAGCAGTGAAGCATTGCTATTTCTACACAACAGTTTCACACCTCAAAATACCAATCTAATCAAGAAAACATGCTTACAATGAATTAGAATAAACCACTAGATTCCCAGTTTAATTTCAATAATCTGTAAATTATAAAAGGTAAAAACAAAACAAAAATCCCTTAAAAGTAGCAAACACCATCAGAAAAATGACAGCAGCATCAACAACCGTATAACAAATGCTATGCCAAATAAATATTTTAACAGAAAAAAAAAAGGAGGTCTAAAAGAATATTTTGGATAACATGAATAAAACTTTGCTGATAGGCAAAAATGTTTGTTGTTCAGTGAAAAGAGAGAATACTGCAATTGATTCTTTATAATTTACTACTTTAATCCCCATTAAAATTCATTTGGGGAAACTCATTCATGAATGCAGATGCAAAAAAAATCCCAACCAAAATGTTAGGAAGCCACATTGGATTAAGAATAAATTAATTATAATACAATATAACTAAATTAGTATATTGCAAGATTGTAGTGGTAGCTTAACACTAGAATATATACAAAGACCATTCTCCACAATAGAAGATGAAAGGAAAAACATCTGTAACAAAAATAAACTAATTAAAATAAAATAAAATAAAATAAAATAACCCTTTAAAAACAATTAAGACCATCTCTTAACCTGCAGTCCCCAGAAAGCTACCACTTTATAAAAGAATGAAGTCCCAAGCAGCAGGAGTGAGGGACAAGCAGAATAAAAGAGGGAAGGAATGAAAGCCAAAATTAGGATGTATTAATGACCTGGTTGCAGCTAAGTGTGAGTGATTATCCTATAGGATGGTCATCTGAGAAGGTGTTTAATTATATCTTAGATCAATCCAACTTGGAGAAGAGGGATGAGGAGAGGAAAAAATGTAACCTCCATTTCCCATATTCTGTAGTCAAAGTTCATCCCATGGGCATATGCATGGCTATAGAGCAGAGTTCCAGAGTATCCCACATCTTGGCATCAACTTGGAACCTCAGTCTTAGCAAAAGCAAAGTGCTATTATTTTGTGCCTGCTTGAAAACTCTACAAAGCTGCTAACTGGTTGTGTAGTGACTGGAAAAAGAGATAGTGGGGTTTACAGAATCTGAAGTGGTTCATAAGAAGTATCTGATAAAGACACTAGATGCCATTTTACACCTGCAGTACTTGCAGTAATTAAGTCTGGCAACATTAATTGTTGAAAAAAATGGAAAACAATGGTACTATATAATGCTGATAGGTATCACATTATATGTGTTTGTAAGGGCAAATACTAAGCATAAAAAAAAGGTGCAAAAAGGGAAAGAAACATGCCATCTTTCAGAGCATTCTTGTTAGAAAACCTATAATTCTAAATTCTTTCTCTGTTTCTCTGAGATGTATGTAAATATTTAAATACTTAAATAAGCTACTCTACAGATTTACAGTTTTTCTGTAAGGCTCTTTAAAACTTTATTATCTTCCTCTAGTACCAGGGAGTCAACTCTTTGAAATATAATCATCAAAGAAGATAACATTCTTATCTCTTATTTTCTGTGGGAAACTAGAAGCCTAATTTCAGCAGAAGCCCTGTTCCAAAACTCCCTCCTGTATTGTGAGAAATTTCTTTTTTTCCTTTGGATAAAACCAACTAGCTAACCTAGATGGTCACCCCAACTATTAGTGAATTTAGGATGAACCATGTGTGACAAATGTTGCTGTCAAGTCCTCTTACCTGAGGACTAGTTATTTTCTCTCTTGAGAACATAAATGTAATGGGTTTTATCTACTTGGCTATACAAAAAGGGTGAGATTTCTTTCTGTCTTAGCAATCTCTTTAGCAAATTGCCTGTGATGCACACCACATTCTGGTTTAGTATTTATTCAATAATATAACTCTTTTCTTTCTTCTCTAGCTTTGTTGGAGAAGTTTTCTGGGTTAGTAGGAGATTTTGTTTTTAATTTTATTTCCCCAGCATGTTCTCATTTTAGATTTGGGTTTTAAGTTCATGAGTGTTGATTATACTGTTATGATTTATAACTTACAAATGCATGCACACAGATATATACATTTGAATGTGTCAAATATTTTAATATGTCCAAAAATATGTTAAAAGTAAAAGACATCCAGCTGGTAAATGTTTATAACAACAACAAAAATAATAAGTTTTAATAATATCAATACATAAAGTTTATATAAATTATTTTTAATAGTATGCCACTAGTCTGACCCTGATCAGTATAGTTCAGCTGGTTGGAGCATCGTCTGATGCACTGAAGGGTCATAGGCTTGATTCCTGGTCAGGGAATATACCCAGGTTGTGGGTTCAATCCCCTGTTGGGGCATGTACAGGAGGCAACTGATCAATGTTTCTCTCTTACCTCTCTCTCTCTCTCTCTCTCTCTCTCTCTCTCTCTCTCTCTCTCAAATCAAATCTAAACTGGTAAAGGCTTTCTGGAGAGTAATCTAACAGTACTTAATGAAATTGTCTGAATATTTATTTTCTCTTAGGAGGTGGAGAACTTCCTCTCTGACATATGCAGATTCTTTTTTGTTTGGTATAGTGTTCAATCTTCTTTTGAACTATCCTATCAACCTGGAAAACCACCTATTTGGCCTTCTTCTGTCATCCATTCTGTTTCAAATTTACCTGGAGGTATTGGTAAGAAAATAAAGCTGATCATTGTCATTTAGCCAAATAATAATCATCTTAGTTTTCTCTGCAGGTACATTTGCTTTTTAAGTTTTTATTGTTTTAGTTTTTTATGTTAATTTGTTTTGTCTTTAACAAGATATATGCCCACCTAAAAGAAGCTACATAAGACATCTTAGCATTTTGATTTTGAACTCCAAGATGCACTTCTTTCCTACACAAATTCTATACAAAAAATTGAAATTGCAAATGATAAATGTGACAAGGCTTTATTTTACAATTTTAAATTAAATTTGTCATCATGCTATTAATGCAAACATTAATATCTGCATATATGATTTATCAGGATTAATTTTAACTAAGTGAGGTAGGGAAAAACACGTTACTGATCATTTCTGAATACTAATCAAAATGCCAAGGCCACCCTTATTTCAAAAAATAGATATGTTGTCATACTATATTGGGGAAGTAGGTAAAATAAGAACTTATAGCACTTCTGGTTTGGTGCATGGTTGGGGGGGTAGTTGCCACAGGAAAGAGATTAGAAACTTTAAAAATATTTTGGACTGCTTATTTTGGCATCACACATACTAAATTGGAATGATACAGAGAAGATTAGCCCGGCCCCTGCACAAAGATGACACACAAATGTGTGAAGCATTACGTATTTTTGAAAAACACACACAGGCCCAAGAAGCACAGCATCCCAAGCACGATAAACCCAAAGAGGCCCACACCAAGACACATAATTAAAACAACAAAGTTTAAAGACAGAGAATTTTAAAAGCAGCAAGAGAAAGTCACCCACAAGGGAGCTCCCATAAGATTTTCAGTTGATTTCTCAACAGAAACATTTCTGGCCAGAAGAGATTGGCATTTCAGGCCAGAAGGGATTGGCATGAAATATTCAAAATGTTAAAAAGCAAGGACCTACAACCAAGACCACTCTACCTAGCAAGGTTATTGTTCAAAGTTTAAGGTGAAATAAAGAACATCTCAGACAAGAATAAGCTAAAGGAGTTTATTATCACCAAACCAGTATTACAAGAAATATTAAAAAGTCTTCTTTAATAAGAGAGAGAAAAAAAAAAACATAATTACTATAAAAATAAAATGGCACCCTGGCCGGTTTAGCTCAGCAGTGGAGCATCAGCCCATGGATCAGAGAGTCCCAGGTTTGATTCCAGTCAGGGGCACGTACCTCGGTTGCAGTTCAGTCCCCAGCCCTGGTCAGAGTTGTGCAGGAGGCAACCAATCGATGTGTCTCTCACGTCGATGTTTCCCTCTCTCTCTCCTTCTCTCTTCCACTTTATCTGAAGAGAAAAAAGAATAAAATGGCAATGAATACATACTTATCAATAATCACCTTAAAGGTAAATAGCTTAAAAGCTCCAATCAAAAGATACAGAGTAGCAGAAAGGATAAGAAAATAAGATCCATAAATATGTTGTATATAAGAGATCCACTTTCAGACAAAAGATATACACAACTGAAAGTAAAGGGATAGAAAAGGATATATGATGCACATGGAAACATACAAATGAACAAAAAACCTAGGGTAGCAGTATTTATATCACACAAAGTAGACTTTAAAACAAAGGATCTAATAAGAGATAAAGAAGAATATTACATAAATATAAAGTGATCAATTCAACAATAGGATATAATGCTATAAACATTTATGTACTCAACATAGAAGCACCTAAATATATAAGGCAAATCTTGATGCACATAAAAAGGAAGATGGACAGTAATACAGTCATAGTAGTAAATTTTAACACCTGACTGACATCAATGGGTAGATTTTCCAGACAAAAATTCAACAAGGATATAGTGGCCTTAAATGACACTCTAGACCAGGTAAGTTTAATTGATACTTTCAGAGCATTTTATCCCAACGAAGCAGAATATACATTCTTTTCAAGTGCATATGGAATATTCTCTAGAATATACCACAATTTAGGGCACAAAACAAGTTTCAATAAATTAAAGAAGATTGAAATCATATCAAGCATCTTCTATGATTACAAAGGTATGAAACTAGAACTCAATTATAAAAAAATGAAAAAACACACAAATAGAAGGAAGCTAAATAACATGTTACTAAACAATGAATGGATTAACAATGACATCAAAGAGGAAATAAAAATTTACTTGAGACAAATGAAAATGAACACAAAACAACACAAAATCTTTGGGACACAGCAAAAGAAATCCTAAGAGGAAAATTCATAACACTACAGGCCTAACTAAAGAAGCAAGAAAAATCTCAAATAAACAATCTAACCTTACACCTAAAGAAACTAGACAAAGAACAGCAAACAAAGCCCAAAGTGAGTAGAAGGAAGGAGATAATAAAAATCACAGCAAAGACAAATGACATACATACTAAAAAAATAAATAAATAAATACAAAAGATCAATGAAAACAAGAGCTGGTTCTTTGAAAACATAAACAAGATTGACCAACCTTTAAACAGACTCATAACAAAGAAAAATGACTCAAGTAAAATAAGAAATGATATAAGAGAAGTAACAAATGACACCACAGGAATACAAAGGATCATAAGAAAATATTATGAACAACTGTGTGCCAACAAATTGGAAAATCTGGACAAAATGGATAAATTCCTACAAACATTCAATCTTCCAAAACTTAGCCAAGAAGAGTCAGAAAATCTAAACAGACTGATTACCACTAATGAAATCAAAGCAGTAATTAAAACAAAACAAAACAACTCCCAACAAACAAAAGTCCTGGACCAGATGGCTTCCATGTGAATTTTATCAACATTTCAAAGGGAGGGAAAAAAATGGCGGCGAAGTGAATGGAGTGACCCAGACCGTCTCCCAAGACCAAACTAGATTTACAACGAAAATAAAGGCAAACCGTCAGGAAAGGGCAGCCGAAAGACATCTTGGAGGACCACTTAACCAGAAACACCCACTCAGTCCTGGTAGGCTTGCGAGGACGGGAGAGGGGACCGAGAGCCCAGGGTCCGCAGCGGCCTGGGCAGCGGCCAGGGAACTCGGCGAGAAGTTAATTCTACCGTCTCCCTTCCCACCGTGCACGGCCCTGGAAACTCTGTAGCCGGCTAAACTCTCCGCTGAAGCCGCACAGACTCGCGGCCCCCAGGGAGCTCGGTGGGACCGGGGAACTCGCGGGAAGTTAATCCTACCGTCTCCTTTCCCACCGTGCACGGCCCTGGAAACTCTGTAGCCGGCTAAACTCTCCGCTGAAGCCACACAGACTCCAGGCCCCCAGGGAACTCAGCGGGACCAGGGAACTCGGCGGGACCGGGGAACTCGGCGGAAAGTTAATTCTACCGTCTCCCTTCCCACCGTGCACGGCCCTGGAAACTCTGTAGCCAGCTAAACTCTCTGCTGAAGCCACACAGACTCCCGGCCCCCAGGGAACTCGGCGGGACCAGGGAACTCGGCGGGACCGGGGAACTTGGCGGGAAGTTAATCCTAACTTCTCCCTTCCCACCTTGCACGGCCCCAGAAACTCTGTAGCCGGCTCAACTCTCCGCTGAAGCCGCACAGACTCGTGGCCCCCAGGGAACTCCGCGGGACTGGGGAACTCGGCGGGAAGTTAATCCTACCGTCTCCCTTGCCACCCTGCATTTGCCCTGGGAACTCTGTAGCCAGCTAAACTATCCACTGGAGCCGCACAGACTCCAGGGCCCCAGGGAACTCAGCTGGACCAGAGACCAGGGAACTCCGCGGGACCAGGGAACTCAGCGGGAAATTATTCCCACCGCCTCCCTTGCCACCCTGCATGGGCCCTGGAAACGCTGTAGCCTGCTAAGCTCTCGGCTGGAGCCACACAGACTCCCGGAGAACAGGGGACTTGGCGGGATTAAAGTGGGTCCTCCCTGGTGCATCCAAACCCAGGAGAGGGAGCCACAAACAGCAAAACACCAACACCCACTGGGAAAACTTGGCAGACTCCAAAGCCCACTGTGATAACGAAAATGGTGAGAAACAGAAACAAAAGCCAAATGAAAGATCAAGAGACCTCTACAGAAGATGAAATAAATGAGGTGCAGTTAAGCAAGTTAACAGAACTAGAATTTAGAGCCATGATGTTGCGGAAGCTCAACAGCATGTGTAAGGACATGAACAACATGAGTAAAGACATAGAAATGTTGAAAATAAACCATCTGGAAATGAAAAACCAACAGGAAGAAATGAAGAATGACATATCAGAAATGAAAAACACACTAGAAGGTCTAAAAAGCAGAGTAGGGGAAGCTGAGGACCGGATCAGTGAATTAGAAAACAGGCTAGAAGAAATCAACCAATCAGAAAACCAAAAGGAAAAAAAGATTAAAAAACAGGAAGAGAGCTTAAGAGAATTGTGGGACAACTGGAAACGTAATAATATTCGTATCATAGGAGTCCCTGAAGAAGAAGAAAGTAAGCGAGGGCTAGAGAATATATTCAAAGAAATAGTGACAGAAAACTTCCCTAATTTGGTGAAGGAAGAAGGCATTCAAGTTCAAGAAGCACAGAGAGCCCCAAGTAAGAAGAACCCAAACAGGCCCACACCAAGACACATAGTAATCAAACTGCCAAAAATTAAAGACAAAGAGAGAATCCTAAAAGCAGCAAGAGATAAGCAACAGGTTACCTACAGAGGAACCCCATTAAGGCTCTCAGCTGACTTTTCACAAGAAACATTACAGGCTCGAAGGGAATGGCATGAAGTAATCAAGGTCATGAAAAACAAGGATCTGAATCCAAGACTACTCTACCCAGCAAGGCTATCATTCAAAATAGAAGGTCAAATAAAGAGCTTCCCAGACAAAATAAGGCTAAGGGAGTACATTAGCACCAAACCAGCACTGCAAGAAATGTTAAAAGGACTGCTGTAATTACCAGGAGAAATGGGAAGGAAAATAGAACCACACTAAACAAAATTGGCAATAAATAAGTACATATCAATAACCACCTTAAATGTAAATGGACTGAATGCTCCCATAAAAAGACACAGAGTAGCTGATTGGATAAGAAAGCAAGACTCATCTATGTGCTGTTTACAAGAGACCCACCTCACAACAAAAGACTCACATAGATTGAAAGTGAAGGGATGGAAAAAAATCTTGCAAGCAAATGGAAAAGAAAAAAAAGCTGGGGTAGCAATACTTATATCTGATAAAATAGACTTCAGATTGAAGGCCATAACTAGAGACAAAGAAGCCCACTACATAGTATTGAAAGGATCTATCCAACAGGAAGATATAACCTTGATAAACATATATGCACCCAATACAGGAGCACCAAAATATATTAAAAAACTATTGGAGGACTTCAAAGGAGAAATCGATAGCAATACAATCATAACAGGGTACTTCAACACCCCACTCACATCACTGGATAGATCCTCTAGACAAAAAATTAGCAAGGAAACAGAGACTCTAAATGAAGCACTAGACCAAATGGATTTAATAGATATCTACAGAGAACTACACCCCAAAACTACAGAATTCACATTATTCTCAAGTGCACATGGAACATTCTCAAAGATAGACCACATGTTAGGGCACAAACTAAGTCTCTACAAGTTCAAGAAGATTGAAATTATAACAAGCATCTTCTCAGACCACAATGGTATGAAACTAGAAATCAATTGCAAGAAGAACATACAAAGACATTTTAACACATGGA